TTATTGATTTTGCTGGTGAACATATTCATGCATATCAAAACCCTTAAATCAAAATTAACATCATTCAACAAATCATAAGTCCTTTGAAACTCGTTAATAAGCATAAAAACAAACTTAAAATAGTTCTTACTAATTTCCAAATAATATTCTTTGGATGGAAAATGCTAACACAGTTGCAGTATCTATTCCACATCTAATCTGAAAAACTAGTACAAGTTTAAAATTTGTTGATATGTCATCGTCACACCAATTTGTTGATACTATTTGTTTGGCCATGCAAATAAGAAAGCCATTTATTTTTTGTTTTCTGTATCTTTCATTTATAATATGCATTCATTTGATCCAAACTATAATTCTACTTAATAAGTGCATTTATTGAAATACTAGCAACATGGCCCAGCATTGCCCGTGCTTGACTCAAAAAATCGTACAACTCAAACAGCAATTGCTATCACTTGACTTAAAATATTTTGCCCTTCCTTGCCTTTTTAAAGGAGTGCCCTTTGCTGTGCTGATGTTGCTACATGCCTTACTTCTTGCCTATCTCACACTGCAAATTTTTTCTAAGCTCTATACTAAGCATTAAATCTGTTACGAAAAAAAGAACTAAACAAAATGAACACAAAACGATCAGCTTTAAAAAAGGACTCGTAACTGGAAGAACCGAATGAAAAAAGAATGTTAACAACAAATACTTTTTTTCACACCCATCCCAATGTCATGGAATCAGAATCAACGTTGAGTTTAAGCAAGTGAATGAGCCAATTGGAGTAAAGTGCCATGCAGATTTAAATTTTTCCCACTTGTGACGAATGCAGCTATCGATTTTTTTTTGCATGCTAGTTAACATTCGTGTCAGTCAGCTGTTGGCTCTCATGCTGGCCAATAGAATCTTCCTGCTTATTCATGGCAGCCAGCTATAGGCTCTCACTCTGGCCAGTACAAAATGGCTGCAAACTACATGAAAAACTGCCAGAAGCATGAAAAAATCGATTATTTCCACTATCGATGGGAGTTGGGAAATACAAAGTCAGTCTTGGCCTTCCTGCTAACTTTCGGAGCATGTGCATGTAAATTTTGGTGCAAATCCGTCAAAAATTATATTTTTCAGTGTTTGATGCAAAATAAATTTCTATTTTTAAGACTATATAAACTTATTTTTATGATGACATTTAAGTATAATTTCATTTCTCTGGTTCAATAACTGGCTTGTATTTTTGTACTTAATTATTTTAATTTTTTCTTCCAGGCATAGTTTGCATCTGTTTATATTATACTGTTTATTTATATATATATATATATATATATATATATATATATATATATATTGAATTAAGATCAAATATAGATAGGAATGCAAGAGAATGATAGGATAAGGGACAAATAGGAAATCTTTATAAATCTGACATGCTTTGCTTTTATTGACACTTGAGATGTGGAGGTTTATTTTCCATGAGGGTCGACCAGGTGAAGGTGAGAGAGGGAGCACGTCGCTCTACCCGGAGCTAAGTGATATTTAGCTACCCCCCCCACGAGGCTTACATGCGGTACAAAAAATATTTCCTATTTGAACCCACATAAACGGGTTCAGGGTCAGTCAACCACCCGAACAAGACTCTGCCATTCAACGGAGCCTCGTCCAGGTTCCTCTCCAACCAAAGGCAGAGAGTTAGACTGTTAGCCAAATGTCAGCTCTGGTTAGCATTGTAGTCAGTTGGCAATATCTTTTGGTTGATGACTAAAAATTAACTTCCGCATTTTGAATGTACACATGGGTTTCATTTGGACACCATGTGTATTTAAAGTAGTTTCCAGTTATTATTTTTAGTTAGGAGGACTTGTGTATGTTTATGTTTCATTTGTTTTACTTTTTGTGTATCGTTCTCTGAAAAAAAAACGCTGAGTCACTGAAGTTAACGGCATTCGTTCTGTTTTCGGACATTTGAGTAGCTGGCAGTAACTTCCAGCCAGGTGCGATACTCTTACCCGTGCTTTCAAATTAATTTCGTGCAAAAAAAATTGTGTTTTTCCAATTTTTGGCACTGTCAGAACCACCACCAGGTAATTTTACATAATCCTGTGAAGTTTTGTTGAAATTGGTTGAAAAATGTAGGAAATACGATCCCATATATAAACGGACACACACACAATCTGCGTTTTATAGTAAGATTAAATGTTATCCTGTATCCATTTAGATGAGGCTGTATTTCTAGTAAAATTGATAGCCTTCATTCTGCCATTTTACCAATGAGTTTTACATGCTTCCTTGGCGCTTCAAAGTGTTCATTTTACTTCCTAATGAATAATTGCATCTTAAGTGCAAATCACAAGGATGATTCAATCAAACTGTATATGATATTAACATCAAAGTAGCAATTGATATTGCTAAGAGTTTTAAAATATGCAAAATGATACCAAATAATAAAGATTGTGTGATGGCTGATCAAATAAATGCAAATAATTTATTCTTGAATCAAACAATGATTTTTGCAGGTTGGGGGGATGTCACAGTAATTTATATTTATTTTACTATCAACTAAAAAATAGTAACAAGAAAAATGAATTACCATTAATGCAACCAAATACAGATATTCATCTGGGGTGAAATTGGGTTTGCTACTATGAACTGCAGATTCAAATAAGTGAAAACAGCAAACAATGAAAATAATCCCTCCCAAACTTGTTAAGAGAAAGAACATAATATTCTACCAGAATAAGATTAGCCAGCATGCTGACAATTATTACAGGCGAGAAATCTTTGGCTTATTGTATGCATCAGATATTGCAACCTTGGATGATTATTATTATTATTATTAGTTTCAGTCTTAATGAAAAAAAATTAATCCCTTGGAAGTTTGCAAAATGCATCACTAGTTCTTTGCTGAGAAGATGGAATTATAAAATTGGTCAAAAGATGGTAGAAGATAGTAAAAAAAGCAACTGCTGAAAAGGAAATGGCTTACTTTTACTTTAAAACTGAGGTTTTTGGCCAACCCAATAAAAAAAAACAAATGAATAAATATTTAAAAAACAAAATATTATTTTGCTAGGTTTCAATGAAGCCATTTTATTTTTTCTTTAATTCTGACTCCCACACAAAAAATATTAGAAATCAATTGTTAATTTTTTTTTAAAATTTATCCTGAATTATTACAATATAGAAAATATTTCATCATGTAATTTCAAACATTTTAAAAAAATTACTTTTTTAATTTTACTGCTCATTTTTAATTTTACTGCACATTTCCCCTATCAGTTATTTTCCTTATGTAAAACTAACTTGGAGAAATAGTTTAATGCCTGTCAAAAGTGATTGTCTATAAAGGAAATAATAAAATACTACATATTTGTCATATTTTATTGACAAAAGCAAATTTTGTTTCATTATTTTGTAAGTTGTTTTGTTAACATTTTAAAAATATAAAAGTAAATTAATTTAGAAGTTATCACAAAGATACAGAGATATTTTGTAGATTTATTTTTTTTACTGATAATCATTTGGAAAATCCCATCTTTACTTGTAATGATGAAATATAGCAATAGACCTGGTATTATCATCATCAAGATACAATTGATTTGTAATATTTAAAAAAAATTGAAAATAAATATCATCTTAGCTTCCTTAAATAGTATTTTAGAGATACATACAAACATTTTATTCGTATAATAAAAATCATACTTATTATAAAACCCAGGTTGTGTGTGTCTGTTCATTTACATATTGGATTGGATTTCCTACATTTTTCAAGCGATTTCAACAAAACTTCACAGGACTACGTAAAATTACCTTGCAGTGGTTCTGACAGTGCCAAAAATTGGAAAAACACAATTGTTTTTGCATGAAATCAATTTGAAAACACAATTAAGAGGCATCACTGTCACCAGAATGAAAGGGGGACAACTCATATCGAGTTATATTTATTATAAAATCCAGGTTGTTTGTGTGTGTGTGTGTTCGTTTATATATAGGATCGAATTTCCTACATTTTTCAACCAATTTCAACAAAACCTCACTTTTTTTTTTTTGCAGGTAGTGTTTCTTATTGTCTTGCACACTTTTTTCTTTATTTTTACATTCAGAATGCTTTAAAAATTCCATTTACAAGACAATTGTTTATAATAAAATTCTATTCAATCGGTAGACTCATAACGATTGAAAACAATGTTTTTGTTTGAGTTTGACCAATTCGAAAAAAAAAAAAAAAAAAAAACTAATTAAGACATGCATGTCCGTCAACCTTAAACAATAATCTTTGTCAATTTTATTTTTCAGTCTTTATGATGGTCGATGCTTGATCTATCTCTTACTGTTACACCCCTGGGCAACGCCGGGCTCTACTGCTAGTCTTTAACATTACTCAAAGCATTCAATGAATTTTTTTCTTACAAATTTTCAGAGTGATCCTAAAAATATTTTCCTAATTAAATTTGTTGAAAAAACATCAATCTTAATGAATGAGTAGGTACTGAAAAGTTCTTGGAGTGATGAAAGATATTAAAAAAATCCTCATGTTTGGTTAGATTTTTGGAAGTTGATTTGCCGAGAACTTGTCAGTACCTCTCTATAAACAACTTACAAGTTGCATATGTAACTTGTAATAAAATTAACATAGGTTATTACATTTTTCTAATTGATCCCTCAATTCCTGTTCTTTAAAAAAAAAGCTAAATTTTTATCTGAATTATAAACATGAACTTGAGAGAGCATCAACAGAGAGATTTAAAATGTCACTTTTTAAAATTTTTAGAAGATTCAGGCTTAAAATACTAAAGTGGAAACTATTTTTTTTCTTTTGTAAAGAAGAAGAAACAAATTTTACCAATAATTAGACATTTTTAATATTTTTTATTCAAGAGTTAAAATATAAAATGCTGTAATTGGAAGGTGCAGGATATTTTTAAATGTATAACAGATATGCAGAAGAGAAAAAAGGGAAATTGAAATTTTAAACAATTTTTTATTATTAAAATGAACTTCCCTTGGAGGATGAAATTTTTTATTATTTAAAATCAAAAGTGGATTGTCTGAGGCATAACCATGTGAAGGGGTCTTGCCACGAGGGTCTTACTTCTCCATTATCATATGGAATATGCCAAGCAGAATTAAATTGTGCTTTCACATTCTCCTTGCGTGGCCACTGAAAAGATTAAAAACTGAAGTCAATTTAACAAGAAATAACAATTTTGTCATTACTTCACTGGTAGATAATATAAACAACTGTGAATTGTACCATCCTTCCCTTGATCTACTCACATGCCTACTTCACTGACAACTACTGATTTTAAAAACTATTAAACTATTACTATCAGTAATCTTAAATATTGGTGGTGGTATTTTACATACATTGCTAATAGGTTTATGTTGCTGGAGCAAGGATTATAGTGATACAAAAGTTGTGCTGTAGATTTTTACAAGTTCTATTCATGACACTTGGTTAACTTTTTCTTACAATAGAGTCTAAAAGAAAGTGGGGTGCTTGACTGAGAGAAAAAAATGTTTTTTTGCACAATTACAGCAGGGCAGTTAATAGAAATTTAAGTTGACAGAAACAAGGAATAATACTCTACTTTCTAGATAGATGTGTGAAGGATGTTGTGTGCATGTTATTTTACATTGACAAGTGAATTGATGTTGTCCTAGCTGATGTTCACACTGCAAACAGGAAGTGCTGAGAGGATTAATAGAGAACAGATATCATTAAACACTGGTTGATAGCATTTGGATTTCTTTTCAACAGAAAATTTTGGAATTAGATAATAAATTGTACAATATTCCTTTTTCAATTATTAATCCAATCTTCATAGTGTCCAAGAAAACCAATCAAGATCCTAGACTGTCCTGACAATCAATGTTAATACAGGAATATTATAACATCCCAGAAAAAAATCTGATTCTTTTACATCTTTTTTTCACCTTTTATTATTCATTAATAACAAAAGTAATAAAAACAAACCAAAAGAGAAAGAAATTAAATGAAATTGGCTAGATTTATACACATATATTAAAAAAACATTATAGATAAAAGTTTAAAATTTCAGCATCTCTTTGTGCACATGTGTAGTCATATAAATATAAATGTCACTACAGTCCAATTAAGTCCTAAAGGACAAAATGCATCACACCAAAATAATTGTCTGCTTTGACATTAATTTTCCTAACATTGTTTTGGTATTTAAAAGATTTATATATCTTTTTCCCATTATTCACTATATAAAGTTCTTGTGTCACAATTTCATTTTTATAATATAATCACCATATTTGATTAAAAGGCAAGTGGGGGTGAAATTGTAGCAACACACATCTTACATTCATTTTCATAATGTACAAATTCATTGAAAATTCATTAACTGAAGATATAAACACAACCAACAGTCTGAAATTTCAACTTAATCTTCAGAATGTTAATTAGATTTGAAATAAATGACAACCAGATTATGATGCTGCAAGAATTCTTTTCTTGCAGTATCATATGGTTGGGATTTATTTCAAATCTAATGATGCACATTCTGAAACAAAGATTAAGTTAAAATTTGAGGCTGTTGATGTAATATATTTGTATTAAGTTGTTTTGTTTACATTAGTTAAACAGAATAGATTTTAGCTTGGAAGTTCTATGTCAATATGCTTGCTCAATTTCATGATTTTCTTGCATTCTTGTGCATTTTATGTCAAATGTTATTAATGTTGATCTTAAATGTTATACAGTTACAGAGGTATATAATTTTTAAAGGATTTAAGCACTCCCATGCCTTTATGGCAAAGTCTCAATAAAAATATCAAAAACTTGTAAAAATGTTAATTTTATTGTAATAAACTTACCATTCATAATAATTGAATAAAATTCTGAAATAATAATTATTTATGTCCCTGTATAAAGTCAAAGATTTTAGTATTTGAAAAGTTGTTTATACTATTACAATAGAATGTAATAATTTGCATATATTTTAGGTAAATCCTCATGTTAACTTTTTTATATAGATAAATTCCCTGTGGAAGTGAAATCATTGAAATTCTATTGGAAACTGTTCAAGTGCAGAAATTATACAATTGAGACATAAAAAAAATTGTGTATGTTTATATTTGAGTAATCCTTATGCCAAAATGGTAGTTGTAACACAAGAGACAATCTGTGACAAGAACATTTCACGTGTCACTGGTATATAAATTTGTATATTAAATAAGATTGAACATTTGATTAAATTTCCTTCTTCATCTACTTCTTTCTCCCTCTTCACATACACACACATCTATGTGTGTGTGTGTCTGTGTGATAGAGTACAATAATTAATGCTTCACTACTTTATAAAGAGGGTATAACTCAACATTTAAACTTAATGGTAATAGAATAAAAAAAGTAGAAATTACTACCATAGTCTTTTCTTTAGAGATTTTTTTAATATATTGATTTCCATACACCACAAATGGATATGGATTAATTTACTCTCTTTTATATTTAAGATATTAATGACTTAATTAAAGTAAATATTTAACAGACATTTAAAAATTCAGAACTGATCTAGAGAAAGAGGTGAAAAGTCAATAATTCTACCATGGTTCACATCTGCTGGAAGAACTTACCTCTAACATAATTTTGCCTTGTTTATTAATTCTAAGGAATTGAATCTGCCGACTTCGCTGCCATTTGGTGAAAATCTCACCCATTACCTCTCCAAGCAGGTACTTGTGGTCTCGCATTTCATCTGAAGAAACAAACATTGTCTTTGGCCCACTATACATGGTGGCATATAGTAGGTAAGGATCATCTTTAGAACTGCAATAACAAAAATGTTGAGAAGAGAGACCAAAAATAGGTATAAATAAATGTAAATGTTACGTTTCAAAATTAAAAAAGGTATCCATTTATTTCCTATTCAGAATGAATCAGAAACCAGTTTTCAATCTTCTCTTCTTGACACATGACCAATAATTGCATATTTGCACATGGAAGGAATGTTCCACACTAAATTTTATATGCAATTTTTGTAATAATAAAACTGAACATGTCCTTTATGTTCTATGAAACTTGGATATTAACTAAAAAAAATAGATGATATAAATTTTTCTTTCAGTGTTCTGTCATGTTCTGTCAATGTGATCCTTGTTGCTTTGACTGGTCAAAGTTTGAACTGAGCATAATAGTGGATGCCAGACTGAATGGACATACCATTTTCTGAATTTGTGGGAACAACTGCCACTCCTCAATCTACAGTGTCACATTTGTACCTGATACCCTACTGTGGACAACACAGTGGCCAACCATAACTGTAATGATTGAGACCAGAGATATCTGGTTAGTATTATTTGAAATAACAGTGACACTGGTTCAAATCACGTCAACATTGAATGCAGGAAGTACTAGACACATATCCAGCAGATCAATTCAGCACTTTTTAGCTTCCATAGAATATGGTAACAGAAGATCCACAAGAACACCAGATGCAGTACCTCACCTTGTGATATCGCTAATTTGACAACTGGCAATGTGTGGTGTAATCTAATAAGTCACGGTTCCAGTTGTTTTAGGCTGAAGTTCAGATTTGGGTAGTGTGCAGACCCCATGAGGTCATGAACCCCAGTTGTCAATAAGGCACCATGTAGGCTAGTGATCCTTCCATAATGAGTATGTTCACAAGGCATATTCTGGGTCTGCTAGTCTATTTAAACACATCATGAGTGGAGACTGCTATGCTACAGTTCTTCATTTGTACCTATTTATAGACTCCATGTAGCCTAACAATATTGATTATTGCAACAGGACAATGTACTGTCTCAGGTCTAAATTGCTTAAATTTATAGGATGTGGTAGAGAGATCTATTTGTGTGAAAGATCTTGCAAATACAAATATCAGAGAGCTGAGAAGAGTTATCAAGACAACCTGCCTCATTACCTTCTCTCCAACAGTCTTCCAACCACTTATGGAATTGATGTTACATTGAGTTGATGCACCTTCCCAGGCTAGAGGAAGTTCTACATATTTGGAAACTATTCTATAACTTTTGGCATGTGAATAAAAATCCTATCAAACAGAAAAACAGAAAGAACTTTTGCTTAAAATGAAGAAAAATTGTGACTGCTTAGAATCATTATTAAAAAGTAAACAATTTCTTTTTCTGTATTATTGAAAATCATTAATTATGTTCAATTTTTCAATTGCAAATTTATCCACAGAATTTCCAGGGATTCTGTTAGTGAAAATAATAAACTAATAGGTATGTTCTTGATGATCTTTTAAGTAAAACCAAAGAATGAAGCACTTACATATTTTCAAGAAAGAAGCAGCTTGCATGTTTTATTATATAATTCATATCTGTCTGGTGCCACTTTTTCATGTGTTTCCGTCCTATTACAAGAACTTTCATATGTTTTTCCAGAGCAAAATATTCAACCACTTTCCGCAACTAAAATCAATACATAAACAATTTTAAAAAAAGGACATAATATCTTTTCCAGCAATGAAGACACTACTTACCCTCCCCTCAAAATTGCATTTTACACAGCCCCGCCAAATATTTCAATACTTTACAATAAGTTTCTTCATAAACGTATCAATTTCAATTAAATAATAAAAGACTAAATCTATTACAATAATTTACTCATACATCTTTTTGTATAAAGAGGTTAGTGACTGTAAGTAAATGCAATTTAATACAAATATCTAACAATATTTACTGATAGCTAAACTGTAGTACTTCTTTTAGAAGTAAAATATCTGGATTATCATTAGTTAAATGTTTTTTCTCTTAGTTTTTAAAGTTGTAAATAGTCTAAGTCATTTTAATCACTATTGTAAACGTTTTATTAAGTGTAGTTTAGAAAAGAAAAGAAAATAAGAATAAAAAAAGTAAAAAGAAAAGAAAGACCAAACAAATAAGTTATTTTATAGAAGTTAAAAGGGGAGGTAGAGAAAGAAGTCACAATACAAGCCAATATAATAAATCATTTGTTTTGGATTTTTTTGTTTATATATATATGTTTATATGTGTGTTTATATATATATATATATATATATATATATATATATATATATATATATTTATTGGTTTGTTTTCTTCTATTCTTCAAAAAAAAAAAACACTCTAGCTTGGCCGCATGTAGGAAGATCAATACAAGCATGCATACCTAATCTATAACTTCAAATAGCCCAAGTGAAGTCTTGATTGGTTGTTGTCTACTGGGGCAACTTATATAATTCACGTCCTAAAGCTAGTGGCAAATTTTGTTCTAGGTGCGGGCCAAATACTGATCATATTCGGTCATGTCGCCCATCGAAGAAGTTTGTTGTTTATTTAGACCCAAAACTTCTAGTGACATGGGAGCAACAACACTGACGACGCAAAATCTTTGTGCTTACTTTAAGCACAAAGATGTTCCCCTCATAGTATAATATTATTACTAATGATAATCCAGATATCTCAATTCTAAAAGAAGTACTACAGTTTAACTATCAGTAAATATTGTTAGAATGAAGTTTTGTATTGTCAGGTGTGACTGAATGATCACTACTGTAGTTATAATGAAAGATTACAGTCCCATAATTTGAATTTAAATTATTTTTCATATTAAATGCCTCATACAGTAAGAAATTAAAAAAAATGATCTATGTAAGTTACCAATTAAGCCACAAAATAATTGGACAGTTATGTAAAACTACTGTAACATCATTTTTATGATATTTTTCCACAAAAGTTAACCAATCAAAATTAGGCAATAGAATTTTAAAACTAAACATCAAAAAAACTGCATCACCACTTTGAAGAAAAGGACAACTAAATAAAATCTTCATGGAAATATAGTGGCAGAATCAAAGAAATCATTTTTAATGCAAACAAAAACTAAAAATAAGAACACTTCTTCGATAAAAAATTATTCATTTATACACAGCATACTTTAAAATATTTCTATGAAATTAATTATTTTTAACAAAATATACATGACAATATACCATACCAAAAGTATTCTCATGGACATTTTACAGGTGGTAGGTGATGAAGGTAACAAATATAAAATTACAAATATCTCTCCAACAAATAATTATCCAAAATAGCCTAAGTCAAGCTGCAAATTCAAATTCAAGAGGAAATGATTTAGTTATGGCATAACACAGCCTCCATCTATATTAAATTTAAACTTTCTTGTAAAACATCAAAATTATAGACCAATGAATTACTGATTTAATAACATTTTTAGTATGATCAAGAGTAGAATGAATATAACAACAAATTGAAAACATTTTCAGTTGTTTTAAAAATGCAATTAAATTTATTAAAAATTCTTACTATGAATTTTTCTATTTACATACTAATATTGTTGCATAATATAATTAAACAAATAAAACTAAAAAGTAGCCAAATAAAGCAATATTTTGTAGTTTTAAATTTTTTGATTTATGCAGAGTTTTTTTGCTTTTCTTAAAGTTTAAAAATCTATTCTTCAAGGAATTATCTTTTAAAACATAAAATTTATACATGTCAAACAGTATTTTACTAATATCACTGATGCTTACATTAAAGAAATCCAAAATCTTTTTTTATAAGTAAGACTTTTATTAAATAAATTCATTGATGCAACAAGAAGTTTGAAAAATTATAAATAAGTTCAATTTTCATATCTTTATCAGACATGCAAACCCAATTAAAACTAAAATTACAAATATCGCTATTATAATTCTGCTTATCCCTCCCTTCATTCATTAGTTAGTTCCTTAGTTAGTTTGCACGAACATTACACTGTCCCAATACCTCATAAATAATGAACTATTTCATTTTGACTGCATCAAAACACGGAACTGACATACCACAGACACTACTTGGTTTCAGTGAGAAAATGAAAGAAAGAAGATTGAAGTGTTTAACAGCTGTTTCAGTGAAATGGAAAAAGTCAATTTCAAATATTTTCAATTGTACCCACTTACTTCTTAAAAATAATGACCAGCATTTACATTTATGATTGTTATTGCAATATTTTGTTAAAGTTGTCAAGCTCAAATATTTAATGATGTGATAGGGGAATTTCTACAGATATTTATTGTTATAGAACTCACCAGGAGCTTCATTAGAAAATTAAAATAGGAAAACCATGAACTTTTCACAGATTTTTCTAGTATGTATAAAGTCTATTAAAATGTTCTTGTATAAGATATTTCAATTCTATTTTTATTAAGAGAAAAACTTCAAACACACACACACATATATATATATATATATATCCATTTCTCTCTCTCTCTCTCTATATATATATATATATATATATATATATTGGCTGAAAATAATTTTTATATCAGAACATATTTCAGTTCTTTTTCTAATATAAATTTTATGAGTGTCTTTGTAAAAATAAATATCTGTTAACCATGTTTGGGATCCTTTTCCCTAATACCACAGTTCTTGTCATATGGTTAATATTCTGCTTTCTCTCAAAATTCTTTGTATATTGTGTGCCTTGGTACCAGAAGCAGAGAAATGAAAACATACAAATATTTTTACCTGAAAAGATCTTTTGTGTTGTGATATCTTAGAAGCAACATTTAATGAATCAATGACAATATCAAAAGGTGCATGTTCTTCAACAAATTTTCTAAAATTCTTTAGCTCAAGTGGATGTGAACGCTGGTAGATGTCATCTCCAATCAATGTCTTTTTCAAAAATGTTGACTGCAATTTCCGAAATTCTCTATTGGCCAATTCAGTTCCCATTAAACTTTGATGGCAAGAAGGACAAACCCCACTACAGAAAAAGGAAGGAATAATAAAGGAAATGAGTCAGAAAACATTTGTTGCTTGTTATGGCAGAAAAAATAATATTAACTGGCTCCATCATCAGAATTAACCAATATCACTGTCTCTCTAAAACATATTTTGGGCTTTAAAGCTTCTAATATATATATATATATATATATATATATATATATATATATATATATGTCTCACATGTAAATTTATTATCTATTCAAAACAACTGTCAACATTTCATGGTGCCTCTATGGAGAGGATAGACTGAAATTAACATTATTTAATGATATAAAAAAAGTTTAGTTTTAAATATTGTCTTATTCATTTGCAAATCATTATTCTCAAGAACCTAACACATGATGAAATTCTTTCCCTTCTATTTTGCTATTTTTCTATAAAATTCAATTATTTTCACTGTTTAAATTTCTTAGTTCTGAAAAAGACAATATAAAATTACCCATTAACCTAAGCAGGTCAGTTTTAAAGTACAAGACATGCATACTTTAATATTTCTTTTGTAGGCACACCAAAACAATACAATGTATAGGTTGGTGGAAATCATTCATTAATGCTTGGATAATAAGGTATTACGCAATATTCAAATTAAAATGTTTGTGGGCAGAGAAATGTTATATAGCTGTTGGCTACAATTAACTTGCACATATTTTCCTTATTTACCCAAGGTTTTTGCTTTATCTCTCAGTTTTGACTTGTTCTCAAATGTTCAATCTCAATATCAATTAACTACAGAAACAAATTTCAATGAATTGTTCTTATACCTTCAAGGTTGTATATCAGAAAAAGAGAATTGCCTCTGGCCTGTGGTTGATCTATACCTGTATTCAAGGAAATTAAAATCCTGAAAGCAATGTTTAGCAAAAGTCATATGCTGGAAGATAAAAGTAACAGCAGCTTCCACATACTTAAATTTAAGTATAAAGTCCAAATGTGAGAGAGAAGAGATAGCAATTCATATGAACAAGTAGATCAAATTAGCAACTAGTCTGTATAACATTGGTACCCTGAATTTTTGCAGTTTGGAAAGAATGTTTTATGGTTATCAAGTGTGAAAAAGCTAGCAGAAATGGTCTGTGAAACAGATACAAATTTTGGATGGGCTCTAGTGAAACAACCAAATGCTTATTCAATTCCCAAGAAATAGTGAACATTCTATCAAATTGCTTCACCTTTATATAAAGTTTTCTTGTTTTCCTTTCTGTCTTTCTCAAACCAAGTTCTGTAATACATACAGTTTTCTGAATCGAATAATTCAGTATTTTGCTCAAATTTTATCCTTTGTTGTCCAGTCACAACTAAAAATCACACCATGACAAAGATTTTGCCAAAGGTATTTTATATAAGTTTTAATATTTGATAATAGTTTATGCTAATTAGGCAGAAAACATTTTACATAGGTTTTCAATTTTATTTTAATTACAAATTAAAAAATAAATAAGTCATCATGTTACACTAACTCTAAAAAGAGTTCCTTATTGCACTGTAACAAGATAAACTTGTGTTGGAGAAAAGAATTTGCTTACTTCTTAGTTATTTTTATCCAAGCTTCAGTCCACCTCTCAGGATTTCCATCTCTGCAACAATAGAAAAGAGTAATCAAAATTAATAACCACTCTAGCAGATTAATCAAACAGGAATCCTATCGGATCTAAAGAACAAAAGTTGGATCCTATCAATTTGCAATATTTATATTTTGTCTAACACTTGATTCAGTTTGTCAACAAACCTGAAAATTTTTTTTCTATTGAAAAAGAAACATATCTGTTATTTAGCCACATTAAATAGCGTCGAGAAATTAGTTGAAAGGTCTTTCCCTCTAAACAATCATTATTTTATTAACTTTAAAATTACTCCTTTCAAATTCAAAGATGAGCAATTGTTATCATTCAATAAATTACTTTGTTATTGAATTTTCTTAACATTTTCAAGAATTCATTTTCAAATTTTTCTCAGCAAGTGAAGAGTTTTAATCTTATTTGTTTATAATATAATTAGAAGTATTTTGTATGTTGTCTCTCATTGTAACTCTCTTTCTGAAACAAATTTTAGTCTTTTCTATTTCTATACTATATCTGCTTGCAAAGTTCTTCGATAATATAACTTTTTTCAGGGTGGTTCTATATCTATAATTGTATTTTTTTACTCCTCTTTGAATGGTACTCTCACTTTAAGATCCAATTTTGTGATTTGACTCTGGATATCATCAAATGTTTTCTCTTTAGAAATTTACATTTTAGTGTTTTATGTAGAAAGGTTTAGAAAGGCTAACCCATTCTCAATAGGTTTCAAATGATATTACCATTAAATTTCATTAACAATTTCCCTTACATGTAAGTTGAAGGGAATTTAAGCTATATAGATCCTTCCTGTAAACTGTATGTTTTCACTGCATCAAAAAGTAAAAGTTGATTGCATATAAATGGAAAAAGTGTCACATAGGAATTTGTATAAATACCAAAATATTTTATTCTGGTCTTCTTCATTATTCTTTTGAATATTAGATATTAAACAAAAATTATATATAATACTTATCAAAGTATATTTTAGGTGATTAATAAACAAAGAATTTCTAATAAACAATTTACAACTAAATAACCAGAGGTATTTAGAAAATAAAAAGGGTTTCACCTAGAAAAAAAAGAGCCCTGGAAAGAAAAAATTTCTTACCTTTTCAAGTGATGTACAATTTCAAACAAGGTTTCTCTCAAGGGGAACCATCGGTATTTCCCCATCAAATTAAACAGGACATCAACATTAAGATTTTTGCTATTAACACAGGATTTTAAAAAGGCTGTATAGACTATTTTTTCTGGTTTTCCATTGGCCTTACCTAACTGATTTAATAGCATGAGGGCATTAACATCATCATTTTCTCTAAGAGCAGCTAGCACCATCGGTGTGTAATATTTGGTCAGTGATTTTTGCAGTGGTTCCAACATTTCCAGAAGCTTAAAACTCTCTTTCCAATGCTTTGTTCCACATAGACCTTTCACAACATTCTTTAAAGAATAATAGTCCAAAATACCATTTGTTTGTTTCAATAGTTTGTCATATAAATCCAGAACTTGTTGGTGTCGTTCAGGGCCACCATACTCTCCAATCAAGCATATCTGAGCTGTCTTTGTTGCAATATTCAGTGTCCGTCCTTGCTTCTTAATGTAGTCTTCCAAAGAGAAACTAAGTTCAACAGATTTGACAAGTTTTATGAGTGACATGCAGATTGCTTCCCAAGATGATTTCAATTTTGGGTTCTCAGTTAATATACTCTTTTCCAAGTTACTCCAATCATCTGGTGACATTGTTGTGATATGACCAGAATCCAGTTTGCTTTTAAAATTGGCAAGTAAGACGCTGCCATTTATACTTTTAACATTTGCACTTTGGCCATTCTCATCATCATGACTTTCTTCCTTATCATCCTTATTTGCATTCACACATGAGCAAAATTGTTGAGAAGAAATATATGAAATATTTTTAACATCTTGAAGTATAAATTTTTTTTGATGTCTCTCATACAGTATACACTCCCTAAACCAACACTTTACTTGACTTTGGAAAGTGTGTATCAGACGTGCTTGACATAAGTTGATAGGCAAGATAATTTCTGAGGAGGTGATAAATAATGGAATTGGTTTGAATTTCAGGAAAACACATTTGACAGATCTGCAAAACATTTCTGTAATGACACCACATCAATTTGAAGATATTCACATTCTGTTATTAGCCTGTTGAAAAGAAATTTTTTAAAAAGAAAGGATACAATCAAAATTTTTTAAATGTTAAAAATAAATGCTACATAATAATAATAAAGAAATTAACACTCTAATTGTTATAAGGAAGTACTTTTGAAAGGCGTTACTTATCTAAAACTAAGAGACAGTTGAATGATGAACAAAATACAAAAATATAAACAGGTATGCATAATAAGAGTTTCAATTTTCATACAAAGTTTCAGCTGTAGTGTTAGAGATTTTAGAAATACATAACCTATTGCTTGAATGTCTTTTTAAAGCACTGTCTTGCAAATACCGGGTACTTACTGTAAGCAACCTTCTACAATCTGGAATAGGTTTCGACCTTAAACCCACAAAGGTTAAAATAAGCCATAAAAAAAAATAAACTCCTCAATCAATCCTCAAGTGTTTGCTTTATTTTGGAAAGATAAGCAATTAGGTCCGAACTTAAAAGTAAAATAAAATTCAAAAGAAAAGGGCTGGGTAGTAAATGGTGAAGGGAAAGGGTCTGTTACTATCCATTTAAAAATTTATCTGAATTTAAACGCCAAATAAATTTCTTCTTTTTTTTTGTGTTGGGGAATAGAGAGAGATCAGGAATCAAATTGAGTGTTTTAAAATAATTCTCCATCAATTTATTTTATTTACTTCCTTCACATAACTTTCTTAAAGTTCATATTCTGAGCTTGTAAAAATCATATTCTGGAGTTTGTAAAAATCAAACGTTTGAATTAATTCAAATTTCAAAAAATATTATTCTGGAGTTTGTAAAAAAAAAAAAATCAATCATTTGAATTCAAATTTATTTCAACTATTTATTCGCAAGCAAGAAATGAAATAGAACTCATTTGTGACTAATAAAAGCCCCAGAATTTAAAAAACGAAAATAAAAATAGATCAGGCTGATTGCCTTCGGATTCAAAATGTTATGCATCCAAAATAACATGAAAAATACTATTCCAACTATTTATTTTATTAATTACTTATGAAAATAACCAATAAAAAAGGGCAATTCATTTTATTTTTAAAATAAGGGTAAATTTGCTTTTTAATACCTGCACTAAATATCTCTTAAAATTTTCCCAAATCATCATAATTTCATGTAAATGTACATGCTGAACTCAAATTAACAATTAAATTATGAAGAAACCTATCGTTTTGAAGTTATCAATAAGAAAAAAAATCGGACTTCTTGCTTGTAATTCGTCCTCCATTATAGGCATTGTTTTAATACATTCTGCCCTGACTACTATTCAAGATTTCCGGTGGCACAATCAAAAAATTTGGCCTATTTACTTCTTTTACAGCTATATCTATTTTTGAAATCACTACACATTATCGTAATTTTTTTTTTTTTGATAAGTGTAGTCTTCTTTATAACAGTAAAGTTTAAAAAACATATTAAATAATACAATAAAAACTTTTTTTGTGTAGAATAGCAATGACAAATTAAAAGAACAAATTAAATAATAAAAATCCAGCATTTTTTATATTTTAAAATTGAAAACAAAACAAAAATTAATGCACAAACTTGGTAAAGTTGAAGGCGTGATTGTATTATTTAATTTTTTTTTTAATTTGTCCCCTTTTCTACAAAGAAGCCAAACATAACCCCTAACCATAACACCTAACCCAAAAGTTAACCCGGTTTATTGTATTATTTAATTCTTTTTTTAATTTGTTCCCTTTTCTACACAGAAAGAAGCCAACCCTAACACCTAACCCTAAAGTTAACCTGGTTTATTGTATTATTTTTTTTTAATTTGTCCCTTTTCTACACAGAAAGAAACCCAACCAAACCCCTCCTAACCCAACAACCCTAAAGTTAACCCAGTTTATTGTATTATTTCATTTTTTATTTTTTAATTTGTCCCCTTTTCTACACAGAAAGAAACCCAACCAAACCCCTTCTAACACTAACACTTAACTCTAAACTTAACCCATAAACATAACACTTTGTAAAAAGCATGATTATGTACAAAATAAAATTACAAAAAAACAAAAAATGCTAGAATCGAAATATGATTTTTTTTTTTTTAATTTGTTCGCTTTTAAATGAAAAAAAAAGCTTTATTGCATTATTTAATTTGTTCTTTTAATTTTTCATTGCTATTCAACACGGGAAAAAGATTCTATTGTATTATTTAATTTTTTTTTTGTTATAAATAATAATACACTTGCCAAAAAAAAAAAAAATTACATTTCTTTACGGTAGTGCGTAGTGATTTTCTGCAAGGAAAGTCTGTAAAAGAAGTAAATAGACCAAACTCCAGTGGAAGTACTACACAGTGAATCAGTGTTCATGATAGCAGTAATGGGGGACAAATGACCAACGAGAAGTCTGATTTTTTTCTTATCGATAACTCCAAAACAGTAGGTTTCTTCATAATTTAATTGTTAATTCGAGTTCAGCATGTACATTTACACGGAATTATGACGATTTGAGAAAATTTTAAAAGCTATTTAGCGCAGGTGTAAAAATGCAAATTTACCAAAATAAGTAGGTACCTTCATGAGATTGCTAAGAAGAGAGTATAGCATGATGAAAAAGATGCCAAACTGGACAAAAACAAAATTTTATCGTCTAAATGTTTATGTTATTATTAAGAGGAAAGATCAAAGTATTTTGGGGGTATTTTTTTTTCACATTTTTGAATTATTCCTAGCACGTCCAAAATTTTCGTTAAAAATCTCAAGTCAGCAAAATTGACCATTTTCTTCCATTTTATAAAAAAACTGGAAATCTCACTTTGAAATTCTTTTAAATATCAATTATCATTTCTTCAAAACTTATTTTAAGAAAATCAAAAATTTTAATGTTTATTTAAAATATTTTAAACCAAGCTAAACTTAGCTTCTGCGCTGAAAAAATGTAATTAGAAAATAAAACAAAGCAGGTAATAAACTTTCGTGTCACTTGACAGGTGATGAATGACATATAGACGGATTCCATGAGGATAACTTGTTCTACGGAAGGAGAAAAGTGAAATAATTTACATTTAAGTGAACAAATTATTTACCTCATTATTTTTAAGGAAAACTTTCAGCGCTCTAATTTTTTTTTTTTTTGTACTTAGCTTTCACCTTTATGTTTACGATGCTTTATGGAAAATATATTATAAAGAAATTAAAATAAGACTGTTAAGAGTGACATTAAATTTCATAAGAAAGGTATCTAATTAATTTATAGATACCTTTCTTATGAAATTTTATCAGAAGTGTATGTAAAATACTATAATTTTATGTACATTTTACTGTGTTATTTGTATTTCCATTCATTTTATTATTAATTTTGATATTTCATTTAATATAAAAATAAGATCATATAAATTTCATAAGATGATACTGATACTTGTAGGTACTCTTCTCAGTTGAAATTGAAAAATCAAATTAACTTCTCCACACGTGTTTCGCAAAAGTAAAGGCCTTAACAGTGGAGAACAATGCTTAATTCAAATAACGCAACTTAATTGTATTCTGGTTGGTCTTCCGTACTTTATAATTAGAGCCCGATTATAAACACAAAATTACATTTCGTAATTACTGCGGATCTTCTAATTAGTCAAAACAAAATGATACAATTTACAACGCGCTAAAAAAAGATCTATCTCATAAGGAGACTTAGGAAACCCGACGCGGCTTTTAATTTTATAATATTTTTAACAAAAATGTATTATAATTAATAAATAACAAATAACTGTATTAAAAATTCATTTTTCATGGAAAAAAATTTTTGCTTTCAGAAAATATTGTCCATATTCATAAAAACAACTAAATCTAAAAGCAAATAAAAGCATTTGAAATTAAATATGTTTGTTTTTATTGAGTTTTTTTGTATGTTAGAGCTGATTTTCAGGTAGGGGGGTCCAATTAAAAACAAAAAAAAAACATGATTTTCAGCCTTTGTGCTTTTTTTAACTATTGTAATCACTAAACTGAAAACCCGATGCGATCGAATTTCTAGTGTTTTCATAATTAGTTTAGGGGGGTGGGAACAA